GTCACCATAGTTGCAGTAGCAAAATGAGAAGATTTGTAATAGAAGAAAAATTACAAACACCTGGTGTGCACAAGAAGATCAAGAATGGCAGAAACCCGAGAAGTTGCAGATGAAGAAGAGTACCAAAATTCTTAGAGAATTAGCCAGAATCACTAGCAGAGAAGATAAGTAAAAGCAGCCAGAGGATCGGAGATTGCAGCCTGAGCATCAATGGCGAGTGATACCATGTTAATGTAGGAAGATTGAGAAAGATAGCTAGGGTTTCAAGAACTAGAAAAAAAGAGAGATCAAAGAAGAAGAGTGAGAGAGAAGTATTGCATTAATCTGTTATGATTTCATTTCTTAATGTAGAAGCTATGACATTGATGTATATATAGAGAACCAAGTCTCTAGCTAACTAACTAACTTAGGTCTACCATCTTATGACAAGTGGCATGATCCTAACCATTCTTTATACTCTTACATCCTCCCACAAACTCATGTCTTGAAGGAACCAAGCATGAGGTTGAAGCAATGAGAGTGAAATAAAGGAGCATTAAGACCTTTAGTTAGTATATCTGCAAATTGTTCCCGAGAAGAAGCAAACTGAACCAGTAATGTCTTCTTAGCAACTTGTTCACGGACAAAGTGCACATCAATCTCAATATGCTTTGTACGTTGATGCAGGACAGGGTTAAACAACAATGCAATGCAGAAAGATTATCACAGAAAAGCATAGGAGCATCACGAGGTTTAACATGCATGAATTGTAACAATTGCTGAATCTAGTCAAGCTCAGCTGCTGTGGTTTACATAGCTCTAACCTCTGTAGATGACCTGAAAATCATGTTTTGCTTCTTGAAGGACCATGAAATAGGATTATTGCCTAAAAAGAAAACCATGCCTGTAATTGACCGTCGATCATTAGAGTCCCCAGCCCAATCGGCATCACTAAAACCATGCCTTTAGTTAACCGTCTTACACTATCTTCATGCACTTGAAATTATTTCTTTGAGATAATCTTCCACTGTAAGTACAATAATCCTCCACGCGGCCATAAGTAACCTTATATTCCAAATAAAAGTTCCCCTTTTGTCCAGATATACCCCATGCAAACCAATTGCGACTTAAATGCAATTCCACGATCACATCGCCATTCATAAATCCAATCCTATCAACAGCTTCCAAGTGACTTTGAGCAAACAAACAACATTTACCAAAATGACAATGATTATAACATGCCACGTGAATCTGTCAACCAAACTGAACTGATCAAATCCACACGTCCACACGTCAAACATTCCAAATCAGTTTTAACTGTGCTGCTTGCTTCCAAGTTGGAGATATAGTTTGTATTCCATTTATCTTGTACAAGAAAATGCCAAAAATATTCATTACCAAAAATAATTATTATGATTAAAAATCAAAATATTATCCTTTCATAATAATAAAGTTATCTTAAAAATTCTCTATCCAACGGTTTAGAATTCCACTCACTTCACGATCTCGATCGCTCGGACTGATGACACAAAATTAGGTACAAACACATACTCATGCGCATTGTGCAGCATGCATCTTCAAAATCCAACTATGTGCGCGCCGGCGCGCGCGCGCGCACACACACACATACACACACACACACACAACTAATCTTCAAATTGACTTCAGACTTCAAAAGATTCAGATAATATTGGATGATATATCTGCTAGGTTTTGTTACCATTTGAGCTTGAAGTAGGGATGGGCAATGATTATGGTAAGCGAGTAACCGTGATTATTTATTCATAATTGTTTGAGTTCTTACCTGCATAATCTTTTACCCTTTTTTGCCCGTTCTTTTTCTTAAACAAGTTGAAAGTTTTCAATTTTTCAATTAAACTTTTTATGAATTTGAATTTTTAGCATTCTCTCATCCGACAACGAGTCGCTCCTCAAGTTTTCAATTTTCGTTTTTAAAATTTAGAAATAATATAAATGGTTAAATTGGCACCCGTTTGTATTCATGAGTATACCCATGTTCACCCATTTATATTTTACGAATAAACGGTTATACCTATAATCGTAACCATTAAGTTTAAATGTGCGAATAACCGCGGTTACCTATATCTGCGGATATTTTGTCCATCCCTAGCTCCAAGTTTTAAATAAATAAAGCCTAATTAAGTAACTATATTTACCAAGCAAACACGCCAATTAAGTAAAAATGGACTGTTAAGTCAAACTCAAATAACCAAAACAACCTATTAAAAATAATAATTTGTAAACCCAAAACGAAAGCAGTTCATTAAAAACAAATAATTCTAAACACAACTTAAACTATATGAATCCATGTGTATTACATATTCACCTTAGTGGATGCCTCCGATTTTACTCGCACTCAATCAAAAGAGCGTGAGACAAACAATTTTTACATATAAATACATGTGCTAGTTTAAGAAAATACATATTCATATATGTTAGAAATTGCTTTCTTTTTTTTATATGTATTTTATACAATAAGAACGTATAATAACTTTTTTTAGAATGATAATAACAATTCGTAAAGGTATGGGCAGTAATTGAACTAGCATGGGGTCATTGGTTGCCCATGACCTCAACTTTTTAGTTCCTATGTTTATTTATTTGTGTATTTGTATTTGACCTCTATAAACAGTTATGGAAAACTAAATTACAACTTTCTCATTCTTCTAATTCTATTTTCTTCTATCATCTTTATCTTTCTTTTCTCTTATTTTTGTGTGCAACTCTATTGTGTGCACCAAGTGCTCGATAAAATGCCTCAGTTTACAAGTCTTGACAGTCTTAACCATTACTCGACAATTTCTACGGTTGTCGTCAACAAACCTGTATAGATCATAGTAGTAGTTGCCGTACATTGACCTAAACTTTCAGCAAATGTCGATAGTAATTGACAGGTGCCCACTGGGTGCTTGACGAAATGGTCCAATGAAGTTCTTTTTTGGTCAGAATCCTAACACATGATTTGAAAATTTTGGCTTCGCCACTATATATGGGATATGACTTAAAGGGATAAAAAGCAGCCAAATAAAGAGGGAAAAAATTAACAAGAAATAAAACGTTGGTAATTTGGTGAATCCCTTTTTTCACTCTTTCACCTCACAAAATCTAAACTAATCCATCTTTCCTTGTTTATCTCCACGATCAAACAAATACAATTGGAATCAATTATCTGAATAATCAAATAACACTTCAACAACATAAATATAATAGTAATAAGTGATTTGATTAATATATTATACCTTTTTTTTTAATTCAATATATTGTACCTGAAATGGTAAATAAGCAATCCCTCGTTCATCGATGTGCGTTTCATACTCTCAAGTTAAAACAAAAATATGAAGTATTTCTCAAATTTGACCATGTTTTACCCTTCTGTTATTTTTTTTTCTTTTCTTTTGTTTATTATATAGATAGATGTATAGATAAATACTTATTCCACTTTTGAAGGTAAGTTTGACGAAAGTGTTCATAGAAGCCAGAAGAAATAATAAATCAAATCCTAAGATTGTAACAATACATTAGAATATGGTCCGCTCTAGTTCATATCCTCTTCATTGATGGCCTCTCATGTCCTCACCGATGATTTGTACGGATATTTGGTTCTTAAGGGTGGCGACTTCAGCTCCGCTGCTTGTCCTTCTTACCTGTTCTTAAGTACCGAGTCTATCCTTTGTGCCTATCGTTTGGTCTTGCTTTAGGGGTTCTGGCATTTGGCCAGTGACCTCGATCCCTTTGTATCTTCTACGTGATTTGTAGAAGTCAAATCCTAGGTTTGTAAAACAAATCATTTTTAAGCATACTTAAAACAAAAGGTAGTGTGAACGAGAAATTATATATTACAAAAAGGCTTCACCACCGCACATATATCAATTTCACATGGAACAAATAGTACACGAGAGTATTTGAATAGTACAGAGACAAAGTGTGAACACTGACGACACGATTCTTAATTAGGTTCTATCTTCCCCCTCCTATTATTCTTGTATTATAACTTAACTCATGTGCGATTCAACCTTTATATGTTCAAATGTGTTGGTGAGTATGGCATTAAATAATTCAATTAGAAGCGTATTCAAGCTTGAATCTTGCATAAGTTGGTAGTTTTCACGCCTTATTAGTCCATGGTACCTGTCAACCACTAGTATATGTGAAATTAATTAACGAAAAATGAAATAATCAAAAGTGACAACATCTAAACTCACACATGGGCGTATACATATAGTGTTGTTATAATTTAAACTAATCTCTTCAAATTCCAACATTATTCTTTTTCTTTAATAATAACTAGAATAATATAGAGACAGCATGTATCTTCAAATTTGCGAGATTCTATATATAATCAAACACATCAACATCGGGAACAATAATCATCCAGTTATAATGTCAGATAAACAAAATTAATTATATACATGCATCATCACTTAAGAATAGCTAAAAATGATTTCATGCTTAAAATAAGTTGATACCAACGCTAGTCTTCGCTTGAACTATCATTCAAAAGAAGAAAAAAAAAAGTTAAACATAAGAAACCCATATGTACATATAACCTAATTAAGCGTGCAAACTTTCTTTAAGTTGGTACATACATAGTAAACATAGAGATCAAAATAAACTTTTCCTTTGCATCTCTATTCAAATCGTCTTTCATTATATGATTGTCAGTTATCAATCGTTCGTCTACATAGAATTCATATAAATCAACAACTGACCAACAACCACACACAAAATCTAAATGAACAAGTCATTACCAATAAAAAGATAAGAAATCCAATCGCAACAGTAGAATTAATATTAATTTTAGCAAAATAATTTTCACACAAAATATTTATTTGTACGGATTTTTTTTTGCCGGAAAGCAGACCAATGAGGATTGAGAAGGCCAAACCTCACTTCCCAAAATGGAAGAAAGCGCCCTTGGTTTCCCAAACAAAACGTGTCAATCATCTATACTCCTTCTCCATTCTGATCTCCTTTTTGTAACGTGAGCATCTCCTCCGATTCTCGCACGCTGGTCAACAGACCTTTGTTCGATTCAAGTTCAACAGACGAAATGTTGGCCTCACAAAGCGAGTAGAGTGGTCTCTACTCTAGCGAGTGGGTGGCGCGGTTAAGCCATTAAACCACTAGGCGGTTTCCCTCCACAGTACCACGTTTTGTCATATAAACTGGGTTTCTACTTGTACAGAAAATGACTCTGTGGCTTTCCATAAAGCATTTATAAGTTATAAATATAGGTACATACATCTGAGGAAATTAAGGAAATAGGGGAGCTGCTACTGTTTTCTCTATAGCTTGTTTCTTCCATGTAAGCTCTCTACAGTTTATTATAAACCTTGCTCTTTTGAGGGAAAAATCGAAAGGGAAAAAAGACTTCTCTTTCGGGATAAATATGATCTCTGTTCTTTTGGATTTTTTCGGTTCTAGTTGATGATCTCCTTTTGCTTCATATTACTGTTATTTCAGGCATGCTTTTGGTCTTGTTTGCTTTAGGTTTTGATTACCAATTTAGGCAAATTGGACAATTTTCTTGAACATGAGTAACTAATTTCTCTATGTATCTACCGATCTAATAGAGAAGAAGGTATGGGGAGAGGAAAGATTGTGATTAGAAGGATTGACAATTCGACGAGCAGGCAAGTGACCTTCTCGAAGAGAAGAAATGGGTTGCTTAAGAAGGCTAAGGAGCTATCAATCCTTTGTGATGCTGAGGTTGGATTGATTGTCTTCTCTAGCACCGGCAGGCTTTACGATTATGCTAGCACTAGGTTAGATCTCTCTCTCTCTCTCTCTCTCTCTCTCTCTCTCAATCTATCTATATATGTGTGTGTGTATTGCCTGTGAACTTTTTGTTGGGTTGAGTTTGCAGTGGAACAAGAGCTACTTGTTCGATATATATATATATATATATATATATATAGACACACAATATATATGCTGCATGTTCTAGCAAAAGATTTGAGGTAGACTTGTTACATTGTATTAATTCAGAAAACACATATCAGCTATTGCGTCCCTTCAATCTTCTTTGGAGCGAAACATTGTTCTCATGTGAAGATTTTTGCTTGCCCGAAGATGTTATTATTGCATAAAATACTTAACTTTTTTATGAATCTATATATAGCATGTGGAATTAACCGAAGATGTTATTGGGGTATTTGGTTGCCTCCTGTCTTGTGGTCATGGATTGTGTAGAAACTTTCCTTGTCTATATGCACAGAAAGACATTATACCTGATAAGAAATTGCTTTTAAAAAACCTCCTAACGAAAAAAAAAGTTACAAATAGACATATATGAATGCTTCTCACATTGTGCTCTATATATATATATATATATATAGGATACAACTATGATATATATTGGTAAGAGCTGATTATTTACATATAATGATAAATAGAGACAGAATGGAGCTAATGCATGATCCAAAAGTACATTGAATTTAGTTACGAAGATGGGTTTTTGAGGCATGAATGATGAGAATTTGTAAATAGGTAGATACATGCTTCTCCTTAATTACTTAGACATCTTAATTAAGATATATGTGTGTGTGTGTGTGTGTATATGTTGTCTCCTCAATTGCTTTGTTTGTCCACATGAGGACACAGCTCTTAAAAAGACAAAGTTCTTAGACAAAGTTTACTTGATCATAACTCCTTCAACTGGCGTCACCTCCATGTTGCACGTCATCAAAGTTTGAATGAGAAGTTTGCAGTTAGTTTGACAATTCTCGTTAAAAACAAGTTATCTATGAATATCACATTTCTTTAGGGCCTAAACTGAGGAACAATGTGCAGACTCGAGCTTTAGGAAATGCCCTTTTCTTGGTACATACGAAGGAGGATGCTTGATGGGGAAGGTGAAGTTTTTAGATGTTAGAATTCTCTACCTACAAGTTCTCACTCAGTTGCATAAGTATATATATATAGGGAGCAGTTCAGTGGCGACATAAAAAAGACATAAATTTTGAGACCGTTAGTTTTGTACACTTTTAATGGTTGAATTGTAATCTTATTAGTCCAATAAATTTCTTTTATTCAAATAATTATGGATTGGGTTTTTTACAATTTTCCAGGACATGTTTTCATATTTTGAAAATGCTGCATTATAGCTTCATTATCAGTGGAAGAGAAAATATTGCTCTCAATACAAACCACTATGATATCACTCAACCATTGATCTCTTAAGCAATAGACTTTTCACAATATTTATAGCGAAATAGGCTCTCTCCACTGAACCAGTGGCAACATCATAGAATGAAAGTCAATGTGGGGTGGTAGGAGTTTGGGCATTATGGATTGAGTTTGGTGGGATTGGGATTTGAAAATTGGTTGACTTTGGGCAGGGTTAGTTGACTCCCCCTCCTCACCCAGGATATAGGAAGACTTCCTTTTCTTTTGTTTTCTTTTTAACCAAGTGCGAGGGAGATTCTAACATGAGGCCTCTTCTATTGTTGGGGAGAAAAATATCTCTAAACCAGAAGCTACTAATTAGTTATGAAGGTGAATGCAAATCAAGGCCAACAGAGATCATCATTCAAGCAACTAAAATGACCGAATGACCAAAATATGTAACAACATGAAAAACATTGCCAGATTGTTTAATAATCAAAAGGGACTTGTAGTATTTGCCCCTCCCACAGTATTATCCTTGTAGAAAAGCGGGTTTACAAATTTCCACAAGCCCGTTTAAAACAAATGTTAACAAGGATTGCAAGTATAACCCCTATATGCTTGATAAACTAACGACCATAACGCTATGAATTTACTAAAAAATATTCACAAGATACTTGATTGTTGCATCTAATTACCATACACTATGAATTTCTTATCAGCATGAAATCAGTTATCGATCGTTTCAACAAACAGAGAGAGGAGCACCATCAACTGTTGAATCCTGCTTCAGAACTCAAGGTAACCACTCAACAAAAACAACTCCAGTCTTCTTTATGCTGAATACCTGCAATTATACTGTATGCAGACATTATATATATGATTCTGTCAAATATGATAGGATTTTTACCACTTGTAAAAGTGGGATAAAAACACTTAAAAATACTTGCAAGAGTACAAGGTAATCGTAGTATAGTCGACTCTAGCAAGGTTGTTCTCTACAGGAAGTGAATAAATAATTTATGTAAAAATCAAGTCTTAATTAATTATTTGAAAATAAAGTTTGGAAAAGGTTGATTTTATGACCTAAAATATTAAAAATGAATTTAATTAAAAATATTAAAGAAACCGGCAAGAGCAAAAAAACATAAAAGAAAATAGTTTTTGAAAATCAAATTGAGAAAACACTAGGGTTCCGCCATCACCTTAATAGTCCTACATAGTTTTATCAATTACTTATGAATTACACATGCAACTTTGAAGGTTAGGTTTTCCTAATGCATATTCTTGTCATGATATTCAAGCAAGAACGTATATCTAACATGCAATTCGTCTGTGATATTCAGATCAAATATGAACATGCAAGACTTATTAAGTTTTGTAAAAATCCTTTGAAAAACCATGCAACTCCTAAGACGTGATAGTCATCCTAAGTGAAATTACTATTATTAACCACAAGAAGCAATACTCAATCCTCCGGTGATATTCTAACCGAATTGCATCCAATTAATTATTTAAACATCCTAATAATAAGTAAGCATTAAGATATAGAGACAATTTAAAAACGGTGATTAATAATTCAAAGTATACATAAATATTGTCATAAGCAATTAAATAAAGACTACATAGTCATGCTATGGCTCGTGGCCTAACCCTAGAAAAATAAATTAGTTACAAATAATCAGAAAACAAAAGGAATTTTATTGAAATAGAAAGAGGATAGAAAACACTTTGTAAATAAACTTGAATTGTCAAAAGCCCTCTAAATCAAGTTCTCCAAAATAGTGTGTAGAGAACCCTAATGGCTAAATATCCTTAGTTATACTATTACAAGATAAAATCCTACCTAGAAAAGGTCTTAGAATGAAACTAGAAAACATACTAAAATAATAAACTAGCAAATAAAAGGTTTCCTATTTAAGTCAATTTCGGAATGCAGAGAAAATCAGACTTTTGACCTACCACATCAACTCTAATTTGGTCCCAAAAAGTCTCTTTTGAAAGTTGAAGACGTCCCCGACAAATTCTTAGAGGAAACCTTCCTCAAAATATGCCATCTTGACCTTCAAAATATCCAAAATATCAAAAAACGTCAATCCAGAAAAGATGCACCCTAGGCCTTCTTTTCTTCGCCACGGTCAAACGGCTTAGATTTAAATTCTGGAATTATGGCACAATCATCATGAAAGACTCACATATCTACTCCATAATTCCTTCGTTTGACAAATTTTTTTATCAAAGTACATTTGCATGTACTACAATTGAAATGTATAACGAAGCATCAAAATCTCACCAAAACTAAACAAGAATAGGGGAAAATATATAGTATAAAATTGACTTATCAAGTACCCCCAAACTTAGCCTTTAACTTGTCCTCAAGCAAATCAAGACTCAAAAAACAAACTAGTAACTTAAACAAAAAATAACTAAGAAACAAAAACTTTCTCCTTCAAGTTGCCAGCCATAGAAAATCTTAAAAATCAGAACGTATTTTCAAAAGTTCCAACTAATCCCAATAGTTTTTGAAAATCAAATTGAGAAAACACTAGGGTTCTGCCATCACCTCAACAGTCCTACATAGTTTTGTTAATTACTTATGAATTACACACACAACTTTGAAGGTTAGGTTTTCCTAATGCATATTCTCCTATTGATATTCAAGCAAGAACGTATATCTAACATGCAATCCGTTGGTGATACTCAAATCAAATATGAACATACAAAACTCATTAAGTTTTGCGAAAACCCTTTGAAAAACCATGCAACCCCTAAGACATGATATTCATCCTAAGTGAAATTACAATTATTAACCACAAGAAGCAATACTCAATCCTCAATGATATTCCAACCGAATTGCATCCATCTACTTATCTAAACATCCTAATAGCAGCTAAGCATTAAGATAGAGACAGTTTAAACACGGTGATTAATAATTCAAAGTATGCATGAATATTATCATAAGCAATTAAATAAAGACTACATAGTCATGCTAGGCTCGTGGCCTAACCCTAGAAAAAGAAATTAGTTACAAATAATCATATAAAAAAGGAATTTTATTGAAATAGAAAAAGGATAGAAAACACCTTGTAAATAAATTTGAATTGTCAAAAGCCCTCCAAACCGAGTTCTCCAAAATAATGTGTAGAGAACACTAATGGCTAAATAGCATTATTTATACTATTACAAGATAAAATCCTACCTAGAAAAGGTTTTAGAATAAAACTAGGAAATATAATAAAATAATAAACTAGCAAATAAAAAGGTTTCCTATTTAAAGTCAAATTCGGATTGTAGAGAACATCTGACTTTTGACCGACCATATCAACTCTAATTTGGACCCAGAAGGTCTCTTTTCAAAGATGAAAATGTCCCCACCAAATCCTCAGAAGAAACATTCCTCAAAATATGTCATTTTGACCTTCAAAATACCTAAAATGTCAAAAAAAAGGTCAATCTAGATAATATACGAGCTAGGCCTTCTTTTCTTCGCCACGGTCACGAAAGACTCACAAATCTACTCGAATTGGAATTACTCCAAACTTCCTTCGTTTGGCTACTTTTTGCTCAAAGTTGATTCGCATGTAATATAATTGAAATATATAACAAAACATCAAAATCTCACTAAAACATACCAAGAATAGAAGAAAATATATAGTATAAAATCTACTCATCAAAACACTAAGCAATAAGCCTCTTGGACAATGATACTTTCATATATGTTTATACGCAAGCATACCACTTGTTTAATTACGTAGCTCTATGGTTTTACCTATGTATAGTAACAAACATTAATTAGCAACCATAATCCGTCCCGAGCAATGTTGGATTACATCCTTACGGAGAGATTATAGAAAAGCAAACATAGAAATAGAGAGAAAGCAGTCTTCCTTAGTAATAGAGAGAAAGTAGTCTTCCTTAGTCACAAATTTAACTGTATGGAAAAGTACATGATAGGATTAGTCTAGATAGTTTGAAATAGCATTATGGACGACGGACATGCCCCATGTAATGAAAAAACTTTAGCGTAGGATTGCAGTACGAGGGAAGGGAATATTTCAATTTTCATAGTTATTGGTAACATATGGTTTTGGGAAATGTAAATCAAGACCTCCCACGAGAATTCCTCGAGTGATGGGAAGAAAAATTGAAGAAACAAGTGCAAAATGAAAATCTTTGAGCTGAACCCAGATGGCGTGGGCAAGCAATTTTCGTTTGTGAAATCCATGAATAACAATGAAGAGAAAAAGGTGGCATAGTTGTATCCTAGGGTTTCAGTAAAATGTGGGAGCTACTAGAGTTTACCAAACAACTTTGTCGTACTTCTGAACAGCTCAATATAGGGTAAATATTGTCGTCATTTTTTCTTTAGTGTGGAAGATAATATGCATGGCAATTAACACACCCTTCAATTTCAATAAGGGGTAAGTTATCGCTAATGTTCTTGCTGTTTCACAATAGAATTACGTAGATACCTGCTCTCGACAACTTTGTACCAATACTAGTCACCGAGTAGCTTAAATAAGTGAAAAGGCAACCTTCAGAGCAGACATAAGATGCACATTTGGTATCAAACAAGGGATAATAATACTCACGAATGATAAAAGTAAGAGCGCATAATGAAAAAATTGAGATATACCTGCATGGCCCCAAAAACAATTCATATCTGCCTATATGGGATACACTTGCATGGCCATAAGCTAGAGAACTTTGAGAATTAATCGAATCTGTCTATATGCATGTTTTTGTTTGTGTCTGTGTGTTTGAAAGCATTCCATCAAGCGCATGTCTGTGTAAACATGCAAGGAGATATGTTTCCTAAAAGGATCATTTTAGTTCTAGTTCCTAATCAATCTAATTGTTAGACTGAAACCTTGTTTGTTTAAATATTATGATTGAGGTCCTTAACATTGTTTAAGAAATTTAACTCATGTATCTATGCATTTAATGTCCCACAAATTATGAAATTTCAACAAAGTCAAATAATATTTTTTAAATATAATAAATACTTAAAAATAAATATTACAGTAATATCGCAAAATTATAGCAAGAAAATATTGTACCCACATAATTATTAACATATTTAAAAAATAACTATTGATATATTTTAAGACATAAAATAAATACATATAATTAACATGGGTACATTTAGCAAAATTAAAAATGGGTACAAATAAATTTAAAAATATGGGTACAAACACAATAAAACTTTAAAAAATTTGGGCACAAAAAGAAATTAATATATGGGTACAAATTAAAATTAAAAAGAAAATTGGTACAAATTAAAAAAGGGTACAAACTAAAAATAAAAATATATAATAAAAAAATTTAGCCATAAATATAAATATATCAAATGTAACATTTCTAACACTAAATGAATATATTTAGAAATAAAAAAAATATTTTATTATTGAAATAATTAATGACGTTTATTAAAACCTAAGGACCTTGATCAAAAATTGAAAAAGAATAAGGTTTTAATCAATGGAGTAGCAAAAAAAGAGATGAGAACCTAATTTCTTATTCCTAAAAATATTACGGATAAAATAAAATATGCACGCTTCAGATTCTTGATGTGTGATTGTACAATGGCTAACATTTTCTAGTGCTCCTATAATTGCTCATTTAGTGAGTTCATATTTCATGCATGACAACATTTATTGTATTTGTACTTAATAGTTTTGGCAAAGGGAGGTAGCAAGCTTGAGGCAACAATTGCAGTACTTGGAAGAATGCCACAGGTAGAATAATTGCTTTATATTGAATCTTCAACATAGCCTAACAATTTGATTCAAGTACCAAAACATAACAATGCATATTTCATGTTGCTTATTCAAAAGGCTATCAAACTAATCACGGTTCATCCAAATACCAACCCAGAAAACCTTTTCAATAACTGAGGTCCCCAGTGAAGCCTAACAACACATTGTCCTACTCCTAAATGATTTGGGTGTTCCCTATGCTTCCTCCTTAAGCGATTTTGCCAAAGACCAAGCTTTTAAACCAACTAAAATGCAAAATCTCTTCACAATATCCTGATACTGTTACTTAAATATTGCTAAAACACTTGAGGTTTTCCCATGAAATGTGAGATAGTGATTTATTGGGAAAAACATAGTATCTCATACACCACAAAGTAACATTTAGTAAATATGAATTAGTTTGTGAGAACAATTAGAGTATACCCCCACACCTTCTATAAATTATGCAGGCAGTTAATGGGGGAAGAGCTTTCTGGTTTGAGTGCCAAAGATCTACAGAATTTAGAATGCCAGCTGGAGATGAGTTTGAAAGGTGTCCGGACAAAAAAGGTATCAAAAGCCTTAGCCCTGATTATAGTCTTAGTTAATAATTTCATGCTCCCTTCTTTATATAGCACATGCATGGCACTCATCTTGGTTTTTTTTTTTTTTATATTCTGCAGATCCAGATATTTGATGATGAAATAAAAGAATTGAACCAGAAGGTAAACTGGCTGAGATTTTCCCCAGTTGATTAATGTTAATTCATTTTATTGGGGTTAATTGATACTTATTAATGTTGTTTTTTACTTTATTTTTAGGCAAATTTCATACATCAAGAGAATATAGAACTGCATAAGAAGCTAGACCTCATAGGTAAGGAGAATGAGGAACTGCAAAAGAAGGTATTGTTTATACATTAAGCTCTGCTTTTCTATTTAACACATTATAATTCATCAAAAGGGTGGAGAAATGCAATGGTAAAGGGACAGTGAGGGGAACCAAGTGAGCTTAAAACATAAAGCCATTCTGTTAATTATACGCATCAGCGACTGTGAAGATGTCTTCTCTAGCAAACACTAACACAGAATATTTTAATCTCAGGTTTATGAAGCAAGGGATATGATTGGAGGAAACAAAACTACCCAGCCTCCATATGGCATCAGTAATGCATATGATTTGCATGCACCCATCCATCTGCAGCTAAGCCACCCACATATTCAAACTCAGCCTGGGCCTCCGCCTTAGAACAATGAAGTACCAGCAAAAGCAATCAAATTAGGGTATCTCCTAAAGACTGTTAACATATTATTTGCATACCATATTCCTTCCAAAGGACAAAACCCCAAAAATAAATAGTAAGAAAAACTCACTATTTTGATTATGCTATGAACATCTCTTCAAATTCTGCAACAGATTACAACTGCATTAGCAAAGTTGTTTCACAGTTGTGGATGGCTATGTCATAATGCAGAAACGTGCACCACAGTGAAAGCCAATCTTCTAAGAGTGAAATGTCATAATGCAGAAACTTGCTATCTTCATGCACTCGAAATTATTTCTTTGAGAAAATCTTCCACTGTAAGTACAATAATCCTCCACGTGGCCATAAGTAATGCCTTATATTCCAAATAAAAGGCCCCCTTTTGTCCAGATATACCCATGCAAACCAATTGCGACTTAATTGCAATTCCACGATCACATCGCCGTTCATAAATCCAATCCTATCAACAGCTTCCAAGTGAATTTGACCAAACAAACAACATTCACCAAAATGATAATGATTATAACATGCCATGTGAATCTGTCAACCAAACTGAACTGATCAAATCCATCCCAAACCAGTTTGCTTCCGAGTTGGAGATATCGTTTGTATTCCATTTATCTTGTACAAGAAAATGTCAAAGATATTCATTACCAAAAATAATTGTTATGATTAAAAACCATAATCTTATCCTTTCATAATAACAAAGTTATCTTAAAAACTCTCAATCCAACGGTTTAGAATTCCGCTTATTCTATGGTCTCGATCGCTCAGGCCAATGATGCAAAATCAGGTACAAACACATACTCATGCGCATTGTGCAGCATACAGCTTCAAAATCCAACTATGCATATATCTACAACTAATCTTCAAAAGATTCAGATAATATTGGATGACATATCTGCTAGGTTTTGTTACCATTTGAACTCGAAGTAGGGATGGGCAACGATTATGGTGGGCGAGTAACCGCAGTTATTTATTCATAACTATTTGAGTTCTTACCCACATAATCGTTTACCCTTTTTTTGCCCATTTTCTTTTTTTTGAACAAGTTGAAAGTTAAAAAATGAATTGTCACCATTTTCTTTCTGATAATTGAAGGCTGTTAATGTTATAAAGTACATTTAACATGCATTTCTCTATTCTAATCCTTTAAGTCCTCACATCATCCGAGAAATTTATATAATAGTAAACGAACGATATTTTTAGCTATTAACAATGAAGGTAACATAATATATTTTTTAAGTATCACGAAATTAGCTAAACTCGTTGTGAAACTCAACCCGCACAACTTATTTACTAGTAGCTGCTGATCAACAAGAAAGACCAATCCTTTTTGGATATAAACCAATGGCAAGGCAGATCATTCTGGCTTCACTTTTAAGTTTAACATTGCAAATCCTAATCCCAACTTTGGTGGCTGCAGAAAAAATATATGCAAGAAAGAAACCATAGTCTAATTTTTTTTTTTTTTTTTTTTTTGAGTACATCAATACTTTTATTCTAAGAGAAGAGGGAGTTCGGCTAAACCAAACAATGGACAGCTTAATTTGGTATTGAATTCACCATTAATGAGATTTGAACCTAAGACCTCTCACTTTCAAGTGAAGATGAATATCACCAGATCGTTGTACTGAGTAACAACAAAAAGACTATTAGTTTACGAAGAACTAACTCCACCCACTTTCAAAATTTCCAGGTCCAAACAATTAGAAATTCGTGATGACAAAAGCAATTTTTTTTTCTCAATTCTTCCTCTTCCGCGTGCATCTGGTAAGATTATGAATTTGAATTTTTAGCATTCTCTCATCCGACAACGAGTCGCTCCTTAAATTTTCAATTTTTTTTTTAAATTTATAAATAATATAAATGGTTAAATGGGCATCCGCTTGTATTTGTGAGCATACCCATGTTCGCCTATTTATATTTTACAAACAAATGGTTATATACATAACCATAATCGTTAAATTTAAATAAGCGAATAATCACGAGTATTTTGTCCATTCCTCCAAGCTTTAACTAAATAAAGCCTAATTAAGTAACTATATTTACCAAGCAACCACGCCAATTAAGTAAAAATGGACTGTTAAGTCAAACTCAAATAACCAAAACAACCTATTAAAAATAATAATTTGTAAACCCAAAACGAAAGCAGATCATTAAAAACAAATAATTCTAAACACAAACTTAAACTATATGAATCCATGTGTATGACATATTTACCTTAGTGGATGCCTCCGATTTTACTTGCACTCATCAAAAGAGCGTGAGACAAACAACATATAAATACAAGTGCTAGTTTAAGAAATTACATATTCATATATGTTAGAAATTGCTTCTTTTTTTTTTTTATGTATTTTATACAATAAGAACGTATAATGACTTTTTTGTGGCTCAATTAGAGGAATTCAAATCCATTACATTAGCAAGTCTGAAGCATCTCTTGCAGCAAAATCCGAAAATGCATACCTTGTGGGGCCGGCTCCTTCATCTGCTGACCAAAGGGAGGCAGCTTTCCCGTACATGTCTTCTCCGGGCGTAGCCTTAGGAACTTTATGATGTATATATGATGGCTTGCAGATCAATTTTGTTGCTTATTGAGTAGTTGCTTCGCCCCTCGCTTCCATTCACCGGTCGGTGGGGATTTGGTTGATCCTTCTTTTCTTCTGTTGCAGCGGTGCCTGCTTTCTAGAATGTAGGCCTAGTATTAGGCAAAAGGGCCCCTCTAAAGATTTAACTAGCTTGACGCAGGCTCAGTTATTGGGTTAGAGCCCAGTCCCTCAGATGCAGGCGAGAGGGAGGAATGCTTTCTTTCCGAAGGTTATTTACTAGAAGAGAAACCGGGCAATCCCAGCTATTATTTATTGGGTTTACGGGAGATATCCTCTTTCCTCTATTTATTGGTAATGATTCTACTACGGTGCCACAAATTCGCAAACTGATCCTAAGTAATCGTTGTTGTTCATTGGATTCCGGAGGTACTACTTCGTTAGGGTTGGGGAATTGCTGCGATTCTTCCTGAATAGCCTGGATTCTACCGTCGAGAGTCATTTTGAAAGTATTACCTAAACTCTTACGACTCAATATGATAAAGCCTATAAAACAAAGAGCTACTATCATTTCTTCATTATAGATTGAAATATTCTTCGAACTTAATGCACAAATAGATGGAATAGCAGCAAATAGCATCTTTCTGGCATGCATATTCTTGGAAGTAAATCTCATTATGAAAGCTTATCTCTATCCTTGCAGAAACTGAACGGGAAGGTCTTTTGAATCGGATGCGCTCGCCCAGCGAGAAAGGCCCTGACCCTGCCAACCAAAAAAAGAAAGAAGAGAACGAAAGGAGAAGAGAATTTCTTTGTAATTCTCTAGGAGTCATGTTTAACCTTGAATGCTATTAATAAATTCTACAGCAATAGTCCCGCGGACTCGGAAAGTAATAACGAAAATGGCTAACCCAATAGCGGATTCCGCAGCTGCCACCGTTAGAACCAATAAAGCAAATAATTGACCCATCATATCATCCAAAGAAACGGAAAATACCAAAAAGTTCAAATTCACAGCTAATAACATTAATTCAATTGACATTAACATAATAAGAATATTTCGTCTATTAAGGAGGATTCCCCAAATACCTAAAATAAAGATGATCATAGAAAATGTGAAATATTTGATAGGATCCATTTCGGATAAGATTCACTTGTAGTTCCGCTTCTTGCTATAACAGAAAGACTTGTCGGAAATCTGGTTGGTCCAGAAAGGCATGGGAGTTTTGGGCGTACTTTCTCTCACTCTCCTGAACTTTCTAACTTAATTACATACGAGATTCTCGGCGTTTCGTTAAATGATTCTCAATTATCATTCCGCGTCTACGAAAAGAGAATAAGCAATAAATTTAACTTAGCTAACGCTACCTTCTTAAATTAAGAAGAAACCTTTTATCAACCCGATCGGGATAACCGGGGGGCTAGGAAAGCACTTAATAATTGATAGATAGGCACGGAAGCCTCTCGAACGAATTGAATTGTTCGTCGACACCTGTATAGGTCATAGTAGTAGTTGTCGTACATTGACCTAAACTTTCAACAAATGTCAATAGCAATTGACATGTGCCCACTAGGTGATTGACGAAATGGTCCAATGAAGTTCTTTTTTTGTCAGAATCCTGACACATGATTTGAAAATTTTGGCTTTGCCACTATATATGGGATATGGCTTCATAGCAAAGGGATAAAATGTAGCCAAATAAAGAGGAAAAAAATTAACAAGAAATAAAACATTGGTAATTTGGTGAAACCCTCTTTTCATTCTTTCACCTCACAAAATCTAAACAACAAATCCATCTTTCCTTGTTTATCTCCACGATCAAACAAATACAATTGGAATCAATTACATGAATAATTAAATAATACTTGAACAACATAAATATAATAGTAATAAGTGATTTGATTGTTGCAGTCCTATTGGAATATGAATGTGATTGTGTAAATCCTAACATATCTAGGGATATCTTTTATATTCCCCTTGGTAGTTAATATCCTATTAGAGTTGTAATTCTAAAAGGGTAAGGAATCAACCTTCCCTACTATTATAAATAAATGCACAATGGGGTGGAATAACACACACCTACAATTACACATATCTCTCTTCTTCTCTCTATGCCGCACCTTCTCTCTCTATATGGCATCCATTATTGTTCAGTAAATTATGCCTACAACACATTATCAACATGCTCTTGACGCTGCACTAAAGAGAGTTTGATCTTCAATCAGGGGAGTACTACGTTTTAATCATTCTGTTTATGATTAATTTATTATTTCATTGAATTGATCTACATGCTATTGATTCAATTTAATTTTTTCTGTGGTGAATGTGATACAATTCATTGGAGATGCAATTCCGGCTTTATGAAAATGATCTTCTACAAATTCAAAGGCTTTTTTTTTTTTTCTGCCAATCAGGTATGCTTAAAATAAAGTAAGATATTTGAAACGACCTTGAAGCATGAAAACATTCCCCATGATGCATGAACCCCCTACATTTATATTTACCGTCCGATATATATATATATATAGTATATGTTTATATATTTGTCAATATGTATATTTGTTTCATGCATCGCACAATTATATTTGCTATGTGGAATAT